ACCCCTCTCTCTCTCTACTTTAGGTGATTGCGATTGCACATTTGAATGGCGTGTCTTAACTCAGTGTTGCGATACCATAGTTGCCACTACTTGGTTGCTAAAGTGGTAACACATCATAACTCCAGAAATAAACTGAACTGGAGAGGTTATAATGACAATTTCTTCTTTTGTTTTTTGTTGTTGTTTTTTGCAATTCCAAAAAGTGGATCCCGATCACTTTTTGCTTTTATTTGCTCTGTTTACTTTATTTTTTGTATAATTGATGAGACAATTATTGTTCTCGTATTGTTCAGAATCAATAATGAATTCGACTCTCTAAATGTAGGAGCGTGTACAATTAACATATTAGATGCAATCAGAGTTGTGCTCTTCCCACAATATATTTATATCAATTAACATGAATTGATGTTGTAGACACCAACACTGACAATACGCAATCATTTGATATCTAGTGTCACTTCGAGATATATCAGTCAACATGAATTGATGTTGTAGACATCATCATTGACAATATGCAGTCATTTAATAAATAGTGTCACTTCCAGATATATCAGTCAAGATGAATTGATGTTGTATACATCATCATTGATAATATGCAGTCATTTAATAAATAGCGTCACTTCCAGATATTTCAGTCAATATGAATTGATGTTGTAGACATCCTCATTGACAATATGCAGTCATTCAATAAATAGTGTCACTTCTAGACATATCAGTCAATATTAATTTATGTTGTAGACATCATTAACGATAGGTGATCATTTTATACCTAGTGTCACTCCCAGATATATCAGTCAACATGAATTGATGTTGTAGACATCCTCATTGTCAATAGGTAATCACTTGATATCTAGTGTCACTTCTAGATATATCAGTCAACATTAATTGATGTTGTAGACATCATCACTGACAATACGCAATCATTTGATATCTAGTGTCACTTATAGATATATCACTCAACATTATTTGATGCTGTAGACATCATCATCGACAATAGGCAATCTTTAATAACTAATGTCACGTCTAGATAAATCAGTCAACATGAATTAATGTTGTAGATATCATCATTGACAATAGATAATCATTTGATATATAGTGTACTAGTAACTTCTGGATATATCAGTCAACATGAATTGATGTTATAGACATCATCATTGACAATAGATAATCATTTGATATCTATTGTCACATCTAGATGTATCAGTCAACATGAATTAATGTTGTAGACATCATTGACAGATAGGTGATCATTTGATATCTGGTGTCACTTCTAGATTCATCAGTCAACATATTTTAGAAATCATCACTGAAAAGATGCAATCATTTGATATCTAGTGTCACTTCTAGATATGATATCGTAGACTTCATTATTGAAATTATGCAATCATTTGATATCTAGTGTCACTTCTAGTTTCATATCATTTGATATCTAGTGTCACTTCTAGATTCACCAGTCAACATGAATTGATGTTGTAGACAATATCATTGACAATATGCAAGCATTTGATATATAGTGTTACTTCCAGATATATCAGTCAACATGAATTGACAATATGCAATCATTTGATATCTAGTGTCACTTCTAAATTCATCAGTCAATAGTACATGTAATTGATGTTGTACTGTTAATCACTGACAATACTCGATCATTTGATATCAATTGTCACTTCTAGATACGTCAGTCAATATGAATTGATGTTTTAGACCTCATCATTGACAATACGTAATCATTTGATATCTTGTGTCACTTCGAGATATATCAATCAAAGTGAATTGATGAGATAGACATCATCATTGACAATAGGTAATCATTTGATATCTCGTGTTACTTCGAGATATATCAGTCATCATGAATTGATTTCATAGATATCATCATTGACAATATATAATCGTTTGATGATTCGTCAAAAATTATTGCTTATTTCTCTTGTGAATATATTATATAATAAAACTGTCCGCATTCTCATTGGTCACTCAAACGATAACAAAGTAGTTCTTGAGTTCATTGCACGAATACACAGTCAAAATGTGTGTGATTAAGCCATGTTCAATGTCTCTCTACATTCGTTTTAACAACAAACCCTCCACGAATCTTTCACGTTAAGGAACTTGGTTATTTGCGTATAAAAAAATACATATGAGCGCGTTTTCTCGTGTCATTTGCTCGTGATTTCTACGCGTATCTGAAATAAAAAGTGTCCAAGACGCGCTTGTAACACTGTCGATTTTTAACTTGTCAAGCTTCCATTGCATTTCGAATCGTGGTATTATACTTTAAATAAAGGACTCCGCACTACCGATTATAGTGTGATATCATGGATCGGACTGAGATGTTTACTTAAATAATGAACTCGACTGCGTCTCGGCCATTATTTCGTACATCCCCCGTTCTCGCCCAGTCAGTTGTCACGCTATATAATGGGCAGCTCTTCGTATTTTATTCGCTAAACAGCAACATTTAGTACACGTCTGTCTCAGGCACAGTGATACCGATGTTGAAAAGCCAGTGCCACAGGTTGTGGGCTGTTTTGTAATTGTATGCCGTACTGTGTAAATAATTATGATGTGAGTCATACATGCATTTTGAAATGCCGTGGTCATATTTGGATGTGCGTACGCGAGTGTTCTTGGATCGGATGAGCAGCTTCCCGAGGTCACGAGGGGTCATACTACAAGACTAGCACGGGAAATGTTTGCAATAGCTTTGCTCACCGCAACTTAGGCAATGAATAAACAACCAAATAAACCACCGGAATTTGATAGGGTCATGATGAAGGAGAAAAGGAATGTTATTGTAAATGAGAGAAAGAGGGGAAACACAAATTCGCGCGTTCCTGTTCTGATGTGATGGTTTCCAGAGGGGGGTATTCCCCTGGCAGACCATCGCAATCAATGATATCCACAAGTGCGCTCGTTAAAATAAAATAGCCATCAAAATACTTCCTGCTGCAATCAATCACTCCGCGACCTGTCTCTCTCCCACGGTTCTAACCACTGGAGAAATGCGAACACTGTCCAGAGAAAGGTCGCCTGGTCTGGTATTGGATGGGGTCTGGCTTGGAAGGACGCACACTTTGAAGCAGCGTAACGTTACGCATTTGGGAGATATCTGGGGCTGTTATGCGGTTTAGTCATACCTTGGCACCTGGCGGACTGTAATATATCAATGATGGACTGTGAACAGGCGTTGGTAATGTGGTGAATGAACGCCATATAATGGTGTATATAAATAATGCCAAGCGCGTGAGGCGTTGGGCTACGTAATAATACTTATTGGTTGCTGGCGGTTAATAGATAAAAAATATCTGAATGTAACTTAACTAAAAAAATATCAGCGCTACTAATGTACATATAGATCTGCCAGATATATGGAAAATCACGCCCGGAAAAGTTGTACATTATTCGTATTTATGGAACCCATGGTCTTCTGCCTCAAATGCCAGCATTCTCTGATTGTATGTATGTATTGTATGATCTCATGTGAGTGTATATAAGAATCCCTTATTACACTGGTGTTAAGCTTAGATTCGGTCGTCGTTGTTACGTACATATATATATATATATATATATATATATATATATATATATATATATATATATATGGATTTTGTATCGCGTAGTATCACCAATTAAACATATATAGCTATTGGTCTAATGCTATTTCTATACCCAACATATTCAAAATCATATAACATTCGGGAATGATTTTTTGGTCAATCGAGTGAAATGAATGTGAACAGCGTTTATTTTGATTGCTTGGATTTGTTATAATTGTAAATATCTTCGGGAATTGTGTACTAAACGTTCAATTTAAACGTCTGTGAGGTCGCTACAGGTTTTTTGTGTATATTTGCTGACTTCCACGAACCGTTCCTATCCGAATTAAACATACCATAGCAATTTTGAATGAGGGGGGGGGGGTCGTAAATCTTAACTTACCGCATTTTACACAAAATCAGACAAATATTGATCATAATAATCTCAATAACCCCAATAAAGCTATGCGAATCGCCTCAGATTACAACATTATATATTTTAGTTATTTTTTTTTATATATTTGTAGGCCGTGATTTAGTTTTTCTCATCGTAGGCGTGGAGTAATGCGGTATTTGTTGACACTCGATGATAACTTCGATGCCTTTGTACCATCATGTTTGAGGATGTAATCCATTTTAAGTTCCATTCCACCTACCCCATTAATGCTCGTGTACCCAGCAATATTATGTTTCAATTGCTACTGTAAAATGATGACAAAGTAAACACGATATATATTGATACAGTAAAACATACTAGTAGTTAATTCGTATAATATTTACGGACAAAATGAGCTTACATTATACTCACTTCACATATAGGAATTGAAACTAAAATCACATGTCCATTTCAGTGTCCCCACTTCTCTGCTCACTCCAGCGCAATGGCCTTTGATATTTCAAGATTTGTACTATGTAGTTCACCAAACTCGTGAATATCGGCAAAGTTCGCACGTTCATTCTTTCGAATTCGTTAAATAGCGCTATCATTTTGCGAGTCTTATTTTAAAAATGTGTTATTGTTTTTATGTTTTAATTCGTTAGCATGCCTTCGAAACACAGTGACGAACCGCACAATGTTGGTTCTCTAAACATTTTTTAACGCGATAAATTAGATGTATCTAAACTAGCATGTGAGAAGTGGTAGTTAATAGCGTGCATTGTTGCAATTTGCAGTATAAATATTCAGGAAACATATGTGTTTAATGATGTGGCCTCGGTCACGTGTCGAGGTGGGCTGGACCTTTCTTTATTAATGGTCCTCCAGTCGCTTCTTCCATCGACAGTTATGCTGCACCGGGAGATGGGGAAACGACATGTAAATAATCGTAAACATATGTGAGCTGACTGAAACAAACCAACAGCGGATCTAGCGAGACGGCACAAGTTCCTCTTTCGGACATAAAATTTATGGCTGTTTTCACACGCGTCGAAGAAGTTGATTCTCACAGCCATCAAAACTGACAACTTGCAGAGTAGTTGTGTCATATGGCGTCGGGAGATCACGCTGTGTGCCCGTTATCACCCGTCGTCAAAGTGTACGTTGTGGCCAGGAAGCTTTGCTGTCAGTATCAGTTTGTATCAACGGGGTTACCGGTTTTGCGGAAACGTTTGTGAGGCGCTCGAGTAACACACGTGATTGCACGAGAGGGCGCGCATCCTTTAACTGAGACCCGAATTGTATTATTTTGAATCATCATTCACGCGTAGTAGCTAATACATCACTATCGCAAGTTATTTACGCAAATATGAAACAGCAGCAACTGCTCCAATTGTGCATCGTAACAGTACAGCTTTAAGTTACTGTCAACCATACTGTTTTTAACCACATCGACTGTTAACGTTTCGCTGAAAATTGGTTGACCAAAATGACGAAGGGGAAACAAGGCGACAAATCTCTTGAAGACTCAATGTCGATTTCTTCGGATGGTGGTGTTTCCGCAACCGACGAAAAATACGAGATTATCATCGACGATGACGACGTTGACGATGACTGCGAAGGCAAGGGAAAATCACGTAAACGAAAGATGAAATGGAACTCGATGGGAAAACAGCGGACTGCGGCAAATGCCCGTGAGCGCGATCGTACACACAGCGTCAATAGTGCCTTCACAACTTTACGAGACTTGATCCCTACAGAGCCGCCGGACAGAAAACTGTCCAAAATAGAAACATTGCGTCTGGCGGCGAGTTACATATCTCACTTGGAAACCACGCTGCTTGTAGGCGAGGAGGCCATTGAGCAGCCGTGTCTCCATCGCAACATGTATCGTCAGTCGTACACCAACTCACTGGGGCACCCTTCTTTCCGACCGATCTGCACGTTCTGTCTGGCAGTAGCCAGGGCAAGCAATGTGGTGAGTGTATATCTAGCGTATTTTATTGCCTTGGAAGTTGCAAAGAAACGTAAATTGTTTTGTCACGGTTATTGAATTTGTAAACATTGGCGGCCATCAATATGGCTATTATTGTATACAACTGTAAAAACGGTTCCTTCCTTGGCGCCCCATTTCTCGTCCCGGCAGTGGTGGTTTGGAGATAACGCAAGCATTTTACCCGTTATTTTCGTGAGAACAGTAGAACGTGAAGATATACACGAAATTTGGCACACGAACTTTTCAACAGTTCGATAATAACTTTGACATCGTAGCATATTTATTGTTCTCGCTTGTCAACAAACCTTAGTTTGGCTCAATCGACACACTTTATAAAATATTCACTCAAATATCATATACTAAAAGTTAGTAGTATGTATATTATTACACAATTGTTGTCATCAATGTCAAAGCGGCTGATAAAAATATATTACGAAATACATACTTAAATAGAATAGACAAATTGTAATCGTGTAGATTAGTAACACAGCACAGTCAAGGAGATATTTACTCTATACTCAGTTCAGCTTATATCTCAGTGCTATGCAACAACCGTTGCTAGGATGTGTTTTTTTTGACAAAGAGACAAAAATAACTATTTTTATGTCATATCCAGTGAATTAAGGGCCTTGGTTACATCCCATAACGATGCGCACTCGAATGATTAGATCTAAGCTTATGGCTCAAGAATATAACTATCACAATATATCCATTAATTTATTAATTCACCAATCTAAAATCTTAAAAGTCCCCCATGTCTTAATGACGCTGCACATCTTATGCAGAGATCCTTCCTGGCAAAATTCTAAGCGCGTTTCTGTTCAAAACGTATGCTTAGTTGCGTCAATGATGAACGGGTAGCGACACTTTCTTACTATGTTATGCATGTTGGAAAAAAAGTGAACGGAATGCAATAATTGCCGGTGGCACTGTCATCGTATGTAACACAATCCAGCTAGTAAAAAGTGTGTACATATTTTAACAACGCATTAATTGAAAAACATCCCATTGGCCTTGTAGCGACTACAGCTTTATTCGACGGTTATTGTCTGGTTCGTGGGACATGCGCAACCGACTGTAGTAGCTCTTTGATCTGAACAGCCAATTTTTCTTTCTAAACGACATTTCCTGTTGATCTGAATTAAAAAATAAATATAATCGAAATTAAGGTAGCGAGACTATTATTTGTGTTGAAAATTACGATTTTCACATTTATTTATTAATTGATGAAATGCACCATAAACTTTCATATGATAAAGTCAATATAACATAGAATGTCATGTAAGTTGATTAAAATATAGATTTTCTGAAGGGAAGCAAGGCAGCCTCAGTAGTGTTTTCCAAAATCAACAACACAGGTTTAATCTGTGTGCCTATAAGTTTCAAAGATAAACTTAAGACAAAGCAATGTTAGGATGTGTTATCAGTAGCTATCTGACACACAATGAGTGTTTCCAAACATTT